TTGAGTTGTAAGCCGCCCTGAGTCCCCCCAGGGAAAAGGGCGGCATATAAATAACTTTTCATAACTCATAACTCATATTTAAGATGCAGTTGAGGTTGCTCAACATGTAGGTCTATAATCGTAGGGTTATGATTTGTGTACGTGGCAAAAAAGGCTATCCAGGGTTTACTTTTATGATAGGAGAATTGTCCTTCCAAAAAAAATCACACATAATTTTATTAAAATTATAATTAAATCTTAACTCCTAGGATGTCTTTCCTATAATGCAGGTGATTCTGGGTTTTTTTTCCTAGTGAGTGTAGCATTATACACTTCAACAAATCAGGTGACTTATAACAGCCATTTTGGCCACTATTCCAAAAATCTTTGTGAGTGACAAGTGAACAGTTATCATTTTAAATAGTGTCCATGGAGAGCACTGAAAACAGTGCATCATGGTGGAAAAATGAAAAAGAGTGAAAACAAATATAACTGGAGTTGTCTCTTTTATGATTACTATAGCCTTATCAGTCTATGTCTGGTGGCTAGAAATCAGTTTATATCAAAGTAACCCAATGTTTTGAAGCTGGATGACAAGATAACTGTGGTTAAGATATGTTACCCAACAGCAACTCTTAAGTAAAAGTTTGCCCAAGCCTTTAGTTTAAAAATGTATTCTCAAAATAACTTGGTATAAAGTCTTACATGAATGCAGCTTTAGGTTTTATGGTAGCAGATTACAATTACTCAGGTTTACATATAGTATTTGAGATTAGTAAACAATAGTGTTATTACAGGTAATTCTCAGCTTATTATTTAGAGCAGAATTTCCATTTTGTGGAAGTTGTGAATCAAGTTGGATCCAATTTTATGACAATTTTTACAGGGTCGTTAAACAAATCCAGGTTTTCCCAATGGTTGGGGTCCCCCTCCCTTGAAATTTGGCAAAAAAACGTACAAATTGCAACTGCGTGGCTGCAAGACACTGCATCCAGTTGTAAATGCAAGCTGATTGCCTCATGCCTGGATCATGATCAGATGACCATGTGCACAGACAGTCATACATGCAGGTCATAAAAGCGAGTAAGTCACTTTTCCAAGGATATCATAACTTAGAACTGTTGTTAAATGAATGTAGTAAGACAAGGGCTACCTGTATTAAATATCACAAATTAGGGGGAAAAACCTAGACTATGCAGGCAAGCCAGCTATGATAGACTTGGCCCAAATCTTGTTCCTTATTACAATGGCTATTGCACCATGCATGCAATATTGTATCCAATAATTAAAAACCTTCAATATAAGATACAGTAGCTTACACTATTTGCCTTAATGACAGAATGTGAGCAGTGGTTATGTCCAATGAACAGTGGAGATTTTGGTGAAGAAAGGTAATGGAGGATTTTATTTTCTGAAAGCACTGTATTCGTTGAGATTACATTGTCCCTTCTGAGCCTGAAGATGTTTTTCTAAATGCCTACTATGAACTAAACTGAAAATATGTGTAAACATAGAAAAGAATAAGCCACATGTTCCGTTGAATTTGTCATGTCATGTCGTTTGGCTCGCTGTTCCCTCCCCCAATGATTGATTTAGAGGAAGCTGCAGAACACACTTGCTTCACTGGTCATCTCCAGTTTGTATAAAAATGGTAGTCATGAGAGAATTTACTTTTCTGTTCTGTATCTGAATGACAAACAGGAAAAATCTTATTTTTTATACAAATTTTGGTTCAGGAGTTAAACTTGCCTTTTCAAAGAGTTCATGTCATTTAATGTTTATCTTTTATGATTGTAAATGCATTTACTCTTTGGAAGAGCTAACCCAATCAGATTTCAGAGGGATTATATTTACTGTAAGCAAATTGTACTTATCTATAAGCAAATAATTAAACTTCATAAGGAGATCTAATGAGACACGTGGATAACAGATGGAAGGGTTAGGTCAGCATTGCTGATATTTTAAAAATGCCACAAACCAGATGCTGTGCTGTTTCCCATTTTTATTTTCTATTTCTAGCTATAATTTATGGGCTTGAAGTTTAAATGGGTAGAGGGAATCACATTGGCTTCACCAATAGCAATAGCAGTTAGACTTATATCCGCTTCACAGTGCTTTACAGCCCTGTCTAAGCAGTTTACAGACTCAGCATATTGCCCCAAACAATCCGGGTCCTCATTTTACCCACTTCGGAAGGATGAGTCAACTCTGAGCCGGTGAGATTTGAACAGCCGAACTGCAGAACTGCAGTCAGCTGAAATAGCCTGCAGTGCTGCATTTAACCACTGTGCCACCTCGGCTCAATGTTAAAAGCATAATAAAATGTTTACATATTCATCTTGCATGTCAAATTATGAATTTACTATTGACATTTACATTCTTAAGAATATGAATTTGGACAAATTTGAAATGAGAAGGCATTAAATATGTGTCTGTTGTTTACTACCTTATAACCTTAGTTTTCAATTTTGAAAAAATTGAACACACATTGACACATTTACTAAAGTATTTTTATAGAAGGCTAGGTTGCATAGTGGGTTTAGTATACTGTACTCAAATTTTGCTCTACTAACAAGTGAAAATAATGTAGATATTCTCATGCAGCCATGTTTTCATACCCATTCATGTTATGATATTATTGGCTGTCTTCGTATTATGATAATTGATTTTGAAATCATAGATATCTGTAGGAAGGGTGTGTGATTGTTATCTCATGTCTGAGATACTTTGGCGTTAGGAGGGAAAGTTGCATAGTGTCTTTTCATTCTAAGTAATTCCTGCCTAGCTACTGGTTCATAGTAATTGAAAAGGTGAAAACAGTTTGGAGTCTTAGTAATAGTATTACTGGTGAGAATTTCTGTGAGTTTATTTTATTACATGCATAACAGCAATGCTTTTGATGATAAATAAATTGTTCTTTTGGTTTTGCTGACAGAATGGCTCAACAACAAGCACTGAGATTTCGTGGTCCGGCTCCTCCCCCAAACACTGTTATGAGAGGCCCACCTCCTCTTATGCGTCCTCCACCACCTTTTGGTATGATGAGAGGCCCACCTCCACCACCTCGACCTCCTTTTGGACGTCCTCCATTTGATCCAAATATGCCTCCGATGCCACCACCTGGAGGAATTCCTCCTCCTATGGGACCTCCACATTTACAGGTAAAAGGTTTATGGGTTTTATTGCTCAATTCTTTGTAATTATTCTGTCTGCTGAAAAATCATTGTAATATGTTTTGAACTGCAGACTTTGTTCTTACTGAGTTCCAATTTTTGTCCTTCTATTTGGATATGTTGCAAGATTTCAAGTTGGTTACTGTTGAAACAGGAAACAAGATATTGGCTGTCCCCACCTTGTTTTTATTTCAGCTTGCTACCTGACAAAGAAAATTAACATGGCAGTGATAGTCTTTTATCTTCCAAAGGCTTCCCGCATCACCCAAAATACCCTGTACTCTGATTCCTGCCCCTTGGAATCCTCTCAACACTGGGTCCCTACTGCTCTTGCCGCTACACTGGGTCCCTGCAAGGTTTAGACTTCCCATGACCCATCACACACCTATTTCTAGAGGCCTGTAGGTCATATTAGGGAAGCAGGGCTGGCCACTTCATCTCTCATCATCCCTGGGTTGTCTGTCCATATGCTGTAAGCGGTCCCATTTCAATATGGCCACAATTCCTTGTGGCAATGATGAAATTGCAGCTGCTTCCAGGATGCAGTTGCACAGCCAGCAATGAAACAGTCCTGTGGAGCTTTTCACAGTGCTGCACAGACCACATTAAGGACCCAGAAAGCATCGCTTTGTTGCTGGGCCATACGGGGACAACCCCAGGAGTGGCAGCCATTTTATGAGCAAAGATACTTCCATGCAGCTGCTTTCAGGTTTGCATCACATGACCCAGGAATCAAGCAGCTTGCTATGCTTCTCTAACCCAAGCTTTGTAGATCTTTAAAAGATAAGTGTGGAGGAGTTAGACCTGGAAAGAAGTGTGAATGGAAAGAAGGACTAAAAGCCTCTGGGACCTGATGGAGCAGTTAAGTAGGAGGGTGTCTGTGTTGTGGCATCCCTCTAGTCGGTCCTAAGGTTAAATGACCATGGTTGCTATGGTGATCATAACTTCAGCACTAGCTCATAAGTAACTTTTGAGGGGGTCCGCCATTATGTCAACTGGTTAAGCAACTAGTCATAAGTCAAGGACTATCTGTACCAACTAGGTCTTCTTCATTCAGGAGTGTGCTTTTAAGGCTTGTCACCTGAACCGTGCTTCAATTTTTGATTCATTTTTGGCTTATCAACTGTTTGGTTTTAATGAAATGTTCTTTTCCATATCTGCTAGAGGTATAGGAGGCCCATTTTCCAGGCAGACTGGTCCCTCACAATTGCTTAATTGTTCCCTGAACTTTTAAAGTGTTTATTATTGTATGATATCAGTAAGCTTAGTCAGTGCCAGAGAACTTACAATATAATTTTGGGGTAAATAACATGTGCACGGCAATGTTCCCTCTAATTTTTTTTCAGTGTGAGCGGAAAAGTATAGTGTGTGAGCTGCA